AGCTGAGAAAGAGAGAGAAGAGCAGAGAGAGGAGAAGAAAGGGAGAGAGAGAGAGAGAGAGAGAGCGAGGAGAGAGAGAGAGAGAGAGAGAGAAGAGAAGGAGGAGAGAGAGAGAAAGAAAGAGAGAGATAGACGAGCGGAGAGAGAGATACACACAAGCGAGCAGAGAGAGAAAGGAGGGATGAGAGCGGAGATCGAGAGAGACCGAGAAAGACGAGAGGAGAGAGAAAAGAAACCAGAGAAAAGGAGAGAGATAGAGGAGATAGAGCAGCGGAAGAAGAGAGAGAGAGATGAGAGAGAGAGAGAGAGAGAGACAAGAGAGAGAGAGAGATGAGGGGAGAAGAGAGAGAAGAGAGAGAGAGGAAAATGGCGAAGCAAAAGCAACGATCAAGACGCTCGTGTGACGACCAGTATTCGACCAACGTGACTATAGAACATAAATAATCAAATAATAAATAATTAGTAAATAATAATAAATAATAATAATAATCAATAATCAATAAATCAGAGAAAGAACTATATATATCGGAGGCGGTGTGCAGGATTAAGATTAATTACGTGTGTTTCACAAGAGTGTCGATTATGTGTCGCTCCTGGACGCATGAGTTGCGTAGCGTATATAATTGCTATTGAACGCTGATTGATCCTCGTGTGTTACTGACGCAAAACCCGGATTATTCTACCTCGCTTAGTCACATAATCTGGGTTAATGTTTCTTCTCTGAACACATATTCCGGATTCTATTGCATCGTGTTGACGCATGACCCAGGTTATTTTACTCGTGTTATTGCTCGCATAACCCGGGTTGGTAACAAAACCATTGAACAAATTATTAAATAAGTTCATTCGGTTGGTAGAATAATATAAATAACAAAGTTCATTTTTACTCAACCGTGGAAATTTGAAACGTACCGCTGACGTTTCGCTTCCTGTCAGGAAGCTTTCTCAAAGCAAACTGATGTTAATCAGTTTTGACCAATCAAATAGCATCAATCCATTGAACAAACTTTTGTGAATGTTTCTGATACCACACGTGGCCACCACACGTGACCACCATTAAATCACTGCATGACGACCCATGCTAGTGCATCTAGAACATCTTCGATTGGCGACCGTACTAGGCTAAATATTCTTATATATCAATAGAAATTTAGAAATTTAGAAGTTACTTTTAGAAATTACAATGCCACTGGCTGAAGTTCCATTGCAAGCCGCATCAAATATTTTGTTAACGCAAACATTCTTCCACATTTTTCGCTGAAACGATTTTTTCTCACGAAAAAGGGTCAATATACAATGTGGACGATCGGATGATATGAAATTATATCAGAAGTGAATAATAATAGATTCTATTAGATCTATTATTAGCCACTCCCGATGATATCATACCATCACCGTTTCCCTTACTGTCTCCGCACTAGTACGTAGGCCCCTAGAGTGTTGTAAGAATGACGTTGCCGTACGTACGTGCGTTATAATGATGATGTTGCGATACATGCGTATCTTGCAGCAATGACGTTCCGTAGCGGGCGTGTGTTGTAGAAATGACGTTACTGTACGCGCGCGCGCGT